TTGGGGCAGCCCCTGAGATACTGGAACACTGCTATCATGTCTCCCTTAATCCTCCTTTTCATTAAACAAGACATACTCAATTCAAACGTTCTTTGTAAGTTTTAACCTCCAATCCTCTGGTCATCTTTTCTTTTTGTAAAAAGTTTTTTTATGTTTTAACAACAAACATAAACGCAAAACAACAAATAAAATCTTCTTTCAATTATACAGTGTGTCGGTTGGTACATATTTCTTGTGCCCAATATCTATCGTCTTTCCCTCTTAGATTTAAATTTATATTCATATTATACTAATCAACTTTCCATATCACGTTATGTTATCATTACATCATCATTAGACTTTAGTTGCAAGTTCACATTGTCCTTTTCAAGCAAATCTCAAATTTTTACAAATACTAACTTACATGATGCTGTAATTCCTTCCATAATAATCAATTATAAGATATCATTACCATTATTTTATATTTACTATTCTATTGCCCTCTGATCATCTTTGTTTTTCTTCTCTTCACTCTTTTTTGGTGGGGAGGGTTGGATTCTTTCCTGACCAAAAGACGAAAGGAATCCCAATCGCAAGAAGGTCACAATAGCAGGCTGAGGGCCACGGTGGACGAGTTGCAGACGGCCAGCCTGCTTCAGGAGGAAATGATAAAGGAATCCAGTAGCCAGATTGATTATCTGAAAAAATTGGTCCAGGGCCACGACGAGGTGTTTGAACAGCTCCGCAATCTTCTCCTGCACTACGAAGGGGGTCCAGACCAGAAGACGTATGGATACGAAAGTGTTGCCAGTCTCCGTATCTCCTACCTGCCCGCTGCTTTCGCCAGGATTCTCCAGGACTTTGAAACGGAGGTGTTGCGTTTGAAATCCCAGTTTGTCCCAGTACGTGATTTTTTTCCCCCTCTTAAGTTGCTTATCTTCACCCCAAATTTGGAAATATACAGGTAGTGCATCGACTTACGATCACAACTGAACGCAACGTTTATGTTGCTGGGTGACAGAGGTGGTATTCAGCAGGTTCTGACCTGTTCTGGAGAACCGGTAGCGGAAATTTTGAATAGTTCGGAGAACCGGCAAATACCGCCTCTGACTGGAGATTTTACACTATTTTTATTTTATTTATTTATTTGATTTGTCAATTGTTTACAAGATAATAAGTATAAGTGTATACATAGTTGTGAATACATGAGATGGGTACATATAAGGAAAATAAAAGAATAGAGAAACAATAGGACAGGGACGGTAGGCACGTTGGTGTGCTTATGCACGCCCCCTACAGACCTCTTAGGAAAGGGGTGAGGTCAATGGTAGACAGTCTAAGGTTAAAGTTTTTGGGGTTTGGGGAAGAGACTACAGAGTCGGGTAGAGTATTCCAGACATTGACTACTCTATTGCTGAAGTCGTATTTCCTGCAATCAAGTTTGGTGCGGTTTACTTTGAGTTTGTATCTATTGTGTGCTCTTGTGTTGTTATGGTTGAAGTTGAAGTATTCATTGACAGGTAGGACATTGCAATGTATGATTTTATATACCATGCTTAAGTCAGACCGAAGACGGCGTAATTCAAGGTTTTCTAGTTCTAGAATTTCAAGTCTGGTGGCATAAGGTATTCTACAATGAGTAGAAGAGTGGAGAACTCTTCTTGTGAAATATTTCTGGACTTTCTCAATTGTGCTAATATCAGATACGTAATGTGGGTTCCAGACTGATGAACTGTATTCGAGTATTGGTCTAGCAAATGTTTTGTATGCTCTGGTTAGTAGTGTGATATTACCAGAGAAAAAGCTACGTAGGATTAGGTTAACAACTCTTAATGCCTTTTTGGCTATGTAGTTGCAGTGGGCTCTAGCACTTAGATCATTAGAGGTGAGTATTCCAAGGTCCTTTACAGAGCTTGGGTCATCAACAAGATCTTGACTATTCAGCTTGTATTTTATTTTCTGATTTTTTTTGCCAATATGTAAGACAGAGCATTTATTTGTTGAGATTTGAAGTTGCCATTTGTTTGACCATTCGGATACATAGTCAAGATCTTTTTGTAGGGTAGCAGTATTGTCTGTAGTATTGAACAGTTTTACATCATCAGCGAAGAGAACGCAATTGCTCTTAATATGATCACAGAGGTCGTTTATGTAGAGTATGAAGAGAGTTGGTCCTAGAACACTACCCTGAGGGACACCACTATTGACAGGTACTGGATTTGATAGGACTCTCCCGATTTTGACCATTTGTTGTCTGTTTGATAGGAATGCTTCTATCCAGTTATTCAGTTGTCCAGATATACCATAGGATTTTATTTTTAGGAGTAGTTTGTCGTGTACCACTGAATCAAAGGCTTTACAGAAGTCTATGTAGATTGCGTCTATTGCTTTGCCCTGGTCGAGTTGTGTCGTCCATATGTTTTTGCAGTGTAAGAGTTGCAGATTACAGGATAGTTTTTTTCTGAAACCAAATTGTTTATTGGAGAGTAGGTTGTTTGTCTCTAAGTGGAGGATGATGGATTGGTTAATAATTGATTCCATGACTTTGCAGGTGACGCAGCATAAGGAGATTTTCAACTAGGCTTGGGTCTCCCTTTTTGAAGATGGGGATGACTGTGGCTTGTGACCATAGGTTAGGCAAGGAGCTGGTCCTGAAAGATTTTTCACATATTCCATCCAGTCCAATAGATAGAGATGGTTTTAGATTGCGTAGTGATTTTTCAACATTGTCTTCTGTGAAATCGATATGTATTAGGTCATTGTTGTTATCTGTGGTACGGTTAGGAAATACTGGGCAAGATCCATTGCTGTTTACAAATACTGAGCCGAAGAATGTGTTAAAGATGTTGGCTTTAATGGTGTCGTCGTTGCAGTCTTTACCATCAGGTCCTATCAAGGGAGGGATGGACCTTGAGTCTTTTAGTTTGTTGTTTACAAAATTGTAAAAAGCACGGGTGGAATTGGTGCTTAGAAGGTTTTCTTCTTGTTTAATGTGATAATTGGTGCATTCGGTCTTTATCTGGTGGCATAAGTTTTTGTATCGGTTTTTGAAATTGGCAACGTGACCAGATTTGTTTTTCCGCCAAAGTGATCTCTTTTTGGATTGAAGTTTCCTTATTGATATGGGTAATCTTCTTTTTTGTTTTGTTTTGGGAGTTGTTGTTGGAACATATAGTATGATGACTCTTTTGATTTCAAGTAAGAATATGTTGTAATGGTCTTCAACGGTATTGCATCCAGAGAATAGAGATTGCCAATCAAGGGATGAGAGGTCGTTGTCTATAAGATCATAGTTGCCTTTTTTGAAGTTATAATTGGGGATTACATCATTGAGGTGATTTTCGTGTGGACGTATGTTGAGACAAAAATCAATCATATTGTGGTCACTGCTGGAAAAGGGTTCTTTAGTTTGTATTCCGTAAATTAAATTCAAACTATTGCAGAAGATGAGATCGAGGCAGTTGTTTAGTCTAGTGTTGTTGGTTACTAGTTGTTCCAGTCCCAGATTTGTAATAGCATTGTAGAAGGTTGTGTGTATGATTTCAGTTGTACAATTATTTAGGGTCCAGTCGATATGAGGTAGATTGAAATCTCCAAGAAAGATAAAAGGGTATGGGCAGGATGTAGCCCATGTTAGTAATGTATTTAGCTTGTTTACATGTTCGATGTCATAATCAGGTGCTCTGTAACATAGTAAGAATCGAATTGTGATATTTAAGGATAGTTCACAGATGATGGTTTCAGGAAGGGCAAGCTCCTGGGTAACTTGGATATTTTTTAGATGTAAGGATTTTTTATAGAATATAGCAACACCACCTCCTCGACGATTTTCACGATCTGATCGGTAAACATGATAGTCTGTTACTGTGGTAATGGAGTCGGGGAGAGATGCATTGAGCCATGTTTCACAGACAAATATAATGTCGAAGTTAGCCGTATTAAGGAGGATGAGAAATTCAGGTATTTTATTCACGAGGCTTCTTGTATTGAGTAGTTTGCATTTAAGTCCGGCAGTAGTTAGAATTGAGGTAGTTGGGGGCGCGCGTGCCTAGTCTTGGGTGATGGTGGATGGGTTGAGGTAGGGTTGTGGTTGAGGGTAAAAGTTGAGAATTGGGTTGCGTGGCTTACTTTTGATACAGTCAGCATGGTAGTCAATGTACAGGTCCTTCTCTCCATTGTCTAGACGGTTTTTGAGTTCGATGCGGAGTACACGGGAGCGGGCACGTTGCTGTATGGTTAGGTCAGGGCGGCAACGGAGGTTCTTGTGGTTGGTGTTGGTTTTGGCGAGTGAGTTTATAGTATAAATGAATTTACGTTTGCTTGATTCGTTTTTGCAAATGACCCTGCACAAGCGTGGGGCCACAGAGCCGTCTCTATTTTTGAGCTCTCGGTCGATGCGGGAAATGTCAAGTATTTCATCAGCGGAGATGGTTGATGCTTGATAATTTCTGATGATGTTTCGGACAGTTGTGATGTCATCATTGACTATCCTTCCCCGCCCACGCTCACCAAGCCACACCCATAGAATCGGTGGTAAAAAAAATTTGAATCCCACCACTGCTGGGCAAGACAGTGGTGAAGTGAATTATTTGCCCCATTTTATGACCTTGGTTGCTGGGAAACTTCCCTCAGTTTATGACCAGATTGAGTCCAACGTTTCTGCTGCTAAGCAAGACACTTGTTAAGTGAATTTACCACCGCCGTTGTTAAGTTAGGAATATGGTTGTGAAGTGAATCCAGCTTCCCACATGGACATTGCTTGTCGGAAGGTTGCAAAAGAGGATCGCATGACACCCCCACCCCCCCCCAGGACATTGCAACCATCATAAAGAGGAGTCAATTTCCAAGCATCTGAATTTTGATCACATGACCATAGGGACATTGCAATGGTTGTAAGCAGTGGTGGGATTCAATTTTTTTTTACTACCAGTCCTGTGGGCGTGGCTCGGTGGGCATGGTTTGGCTTGGCGGGCGTGGCTTGGTGGGTGAAGGGGAAGGATACTGTAAAATCCCCATTCCCTCCCCACCCCACTAACCTGCTTTCCAGCTCTGTTTTCCTGTGCAGGGCAACGAAAGAAGAGCCAGCCAATCAGCTGGGACTCAATGGGAGGCAGAGAATAGAGGGGGAGGGGCCAGTCAGAGGTGATATTTGCCGGTACTCAAAATTTCCGCTACCGGTTCTCCAGAACTGGTCAGAACCTGCTGAATACCACCTCTGGTCATAAGCAAGGGTGGGATTCTACCAGTTCGGCCCAGTTCAGGCAAACCAGTAGCTCCGGCGTTCATTTGGCCCCGCCCACTCGCCCCTGCACTAGTCTGTCCTTTATTTCTCTGTTTTCCAGCTCAGCCGATTCACGCGGTAGGGCAGTTTTGCTGCACCTCAGCTGTTTTACTCACTGGGGCTGCAGTAGAAGGGAGATATTAAAGCTAAAAATGGGAGGTTTTCAAATGCTGCATGTGTGTGTTTGAACCGGCTGTTAAACCGGTTCAATCCCACCACTGGTCATAAGTGTGAAAAATGATCATAAGTCACTTTTTCCAGTGCCGTTGTAACTTAAAACGGTCACTAAATGAACTGTTGTAAGCAGAGGACCACCTGTAGTCAGAGAAAACAGGAGTGAGGGACCATCTAATGCTATCTTATGGAAATGTCGATGGAATTCCTCAGAAAACATGTTATCAGCCCTGGCAATAGGAGGAAGTAAATATTGATTGAGGCAGAATGAAAATGATTGTCAATGTAAGTGTAAAAACAGATACTCAACAACCGTGAGGCTATTCCTCTTATCTGTCTCAGCACCCACGTTTCATAAACGGGCCACAGTCCTCTTGAGTGCTGAGGAAAATTCTTTTGTCATTTACGCTATATAGTTGCTTGTATTAAAATAAATTTTAATCATCCATAACTTGTGACATTTTTATCAGCTGGAAGAGCAAATGGATATGATGCAGAGAGAATCAGAGTCGAAAACTGAAATTTTGCTTCAGCAACATCAGGACAGGTATGCCATTTCCGGTTTCTTCGTTCTGAATGTATTTCATATCACTTTCCTGTCACTCATCAAGAAAGTTCCCACAGCAGATTACAGATGGTCCTCGACTTACCACCACGATGGGGAGGAAAAGTATGATTGTCAAGAAAGGCAGTGTGATGACCCAGGGCACGGCACAGAGGTCACACAGGCAGCTGGCAGTTCAAACCACCCCTTTATTGCTCCAAATTTCTCCAAACGCTCCCACCTTTCTGGCAAGTCCCAGAGCAAAGAGATCTCTCTCACACACACACACACACACACATGCCTCAACAGCCTCTGGCTGCAGGTAGTCCCAATGCTGTGAGCACCACGGCCGCAAAGCAAGAAATCCAGCAAGAATGCAAGGAATCCAAGAAAGTTCCAACGTTGGCACTCAACACTCCTGGAATTCAGCATTCGTTCCCGACAAGTGCCTCTCCTCACAGCGTCTCCTTAAGTCTCCGTCTCCAGGTGTCTTGTGAAGAGGGGTGGGGTGCTCTCCTCCCAAGTAGCCGGGTCAGTCTGCGCTGTTCTCCCCTTCTCGCCTTCTCTCCACTCTCCGTGCTCGTAGATCAGGAGCGGGCGGTCCTTGCTCATCACCTGAGCTCCGTCTCTCATGTTCGCTGCTTAGCCTCTGTTGGTCATCCTGTCCCTCTTCCTCCCTGCTTACAAGCTGTCCCAATCCCGAAAGGGCCCGGCCTGACTGGGCTTGCTCCTCCCCATTTTCCTCCCAAGCCAATGAAGCCGCCCCCCCCCCCCCTCGATCTCCGTCTGGCTTCCCCATTGACTTCGCTTGTCAGAAGGTCACAAAAGGGGATCGACACGACCCCGGGACATTGCGACCATCATAAATGTGAAATAGTTGCCAAGTGCCTGAACTTTGGTCACATGATCCTGGGGATACTGCAAAGGTGGCAACGATTAAAAAAACAGTCATAAGTCACATTTTTCAGCGTCGAACGGTCACTAAATGAACCATTGTAAGTCGAGGGCTACCTGTATATATTCTCATGGCAAAAATCTTTTCCTATTTGCCGTGTTTTATCCTAGATTTCTAACTTGATCCTGCTAAGGCTTGGGGAGAGATAATCGGCGCATTAGATCGCAGGTGCTTTAGCACTATGACTTTATGGCCTTTTTCGTTTTCATTCTGTTTTAATAACAGCGTTGAGAGGCTGATCGGCGAACATGAGCAGGATTTGGAAGTGCTGAGGGAGGCAGCGAAGGCTTCCCACAGCCACGCCAGCAACATTCAAAGCCAGATGGAAATCATTCAGTACGTAAAACACTTCCAAAGGGGCATCCCACCAAATGTTCCCGAGCAGAGTTTTATGAAACTTGGCCACTTTAAGACCTGCGGAGTTCAACTGCCCAGAATTTCCCAGCCAGCACATCTAAAGCAAATCAATGGTGGGATTCAACATTATTTTTACTACTGGTTCTGTGGGCGTGGCTTGGTGGGCGTGGCAGGGGGAGGTTGCTGCAAAATCCCCACTCCCTCCCCACCTCACTAACCTGCTTTCCAGCTCCGTTCTCTTGTACAGGACAACCAAAGAAGATCCAGACAATCAGCTGGGACTCAATGGGAGGCAGAGGATAGATGGGGGCAGGGCCAGTCAGAGGTGGGATTTGCCGGTTCTCCAAACTACTCAAAATTTCTGCTACCGGTTCTCCAGAACTGGTCAGAACCGGCTGAATACCCATCTCTGAACCAAATGCCCCAAAGTTGCTTATTCCAAAGGGCAACTGAACTTCCTTGTTTTTTGTCTCCTTTGAAAACATTTCTCTTCTCATCCAACAAGCTTCTTCAAACATATCTCAAAGGCAACATCCACTTGCCCTTTGGGGGTGAGGTGGGGGAAGCACCTTGGGGACAACCGTCACCTGGATGATTGACAATCTCCACAGACATTCAGCTGAGTTAATGTAAGACACCCAGTCTGGCCATCGGAACTCTTCTTTCAGGCATTCCAGCCAAAGAATGAAAGAGAAAGCCTTCAGCACAGTGTGGTGACCTCCTCCCTTCAGGCTCTTTGTCCCAGGGTCCTGGCCCTCGGAGGCATAGAAGGCGCAAGGCACAACGGCCCGCACGAATGGACATACCTGTTTCCTTCCCTCCCCCAACCATTTATCAAGCTCTTCAAACTGCACGTACAATATTTATTTGCCGTAACTGCAAAACCGCAGGAGTGGTGCAGTGGCAGGGGGTGGGATTCTACCGGTTTGGACCGGTTTTATCGAACCGGTTGTTACGATTCTGCACAGTTTGGAGAACTAGCAAATCATGTCCCCTGGCTGGCCCCGCCCCTCTCTGCCCCTCCCCTCCCAGTCGGTCCTTATCGCGCATGCACAACATCGCTGACTGTGTTCTCCCCCGCCCAGTATTAAGGTATTTCTTTTTTCTCTCCTCCCAACGATCAGCTGTTCCGATGATCAGCTGGGCCAGGATCCCCATTGCTGTCTGACTGCTTCGCCCAGGAGGCTTCCCTGAGGCCTAAGAGGCAAAATGGTGCGCGTGGAGGGGTTGGGGGGGGGGGCAGGGAGGGAATGCTGCTCCTCCCTGTGCTCCATTTTTTTACCTTCCTGGGCCCCAGGGAAGCCTTCTGGGACTAAAAACACCCCCCAACAGGCTTCCCTGAGGCCTAGGAGGCAAAAAAAAAAATGGGGGGAGGGGGTTTGCTGCAAAAATGAAAGAAAGAAAGAAAGAAAGAAAGAAAGAAAGAAAGAAAGAAAGAAAACACACCCACCCAGTCACATGGTCATGCCGACTTAGTCACGCTCACATAGCCACAGCCACAGAATCGGTTGTTAAAAAATTTGAACGCCACCCCTGTGCGGTGGCCCGGAGGTGGAGTTCTCGCCTCACAATCAGGATCCTAGGTAGAGGCAGATATTTCTCTCTCTGGACACACCTGAACAAAAACTCCGTATTGGTGACAGGAAGGGCACCCGGCCATTAAAACACTCGGCCAGCTGCATTCAGTTGCCTAGACTCCTCCCTGCAAGGGATTATGGGGTCATTAAAAGAGGATAATAACTGTATTTCTGGCAGTGATTTGTCACATCTCCTTGTCTGCTTAGATTGCAGGCATCATTCTCACCTTTATAACCATGCGGTCTGCTCCTGAATATTTTAGATTCCCATTTGGGTTTAATTTCCTTTCTTTATTCTCAGAGAACAAGCCAAAAATCAGAAATCTCTGTATTTGCGCCAGATCAGTCAGCTGGAAGGCACGATTTCACAACTGCGCTCTGAGCTACGGGAAGCCATGAGGATGTCCCAGGATAAGGTGAGTGCAAGAGGGTTCGTGACCTGTGAAATGTGGGCGAAATTCACCCTGATGATTATAAACACAGCTCATTTCCTGACCACAGGTAGTCCTCAACTTACAACAGTTCATTTAGTGACCGTTCAAAGTTACAACGGCTCTGAAAAAAAGTGTGTTTTTCACACTTAGGACCGTTGCAGCATCCCGTGGTCACGTGGTCAACATTCAGACGCCAGGCAACGGGCTCCTATTTATGACCATTGCAACGGGCTCCTATTTATGACCTTTAGTGACCTCCTGGCAAGCAAAGTCAACGGGGAAGCTGGATTCGCCATACAAACTTTTTACTAACGTAACGGCCACAGCGACTCACTGAACCACTGGGACTAGAAAGGTTGTAAAGTGGGACAAAATTCACTTAACCACTGTCTCGCTTAGTGACATAAATGCCGGGCTCAGTCGTAAGCTGAGGACTGTCTGTATTCTGAGACACTGTAAAAAAAATCATCAGTGCAAGTTGCCCTCAAGTTACGAGGCGTTGCTTAGCGATCGTTTGAAATGCTTGAACAGGGGGTTGGGCTAGAAGACCTCTAAGGTCCCTTCCATCTCGATTCTGAATCTAATTGAATTGAAATTTCAAGGGATCTACCTGTGGGGGGTTTCAAAGTTCACCAGGGAGAAAAGACAACTCTTAATGGCCTTCCAGAAGCCCATGAGAATCAGGGATGCTCTGAATTTCCTGAGGAAACCAAACTGGACATTTTGTTGGTAGCTGGTCTTTCTTTCTTTCTTTCTTTTTTTTCCCCTTTCCGGACCTCTCTTCCTATCTTGTAAAATTATTTCCAGCTTCGCTTCTGTCAAAAACCTGCGGAGTTTCGCCATTTGCAATTCTTCCTCTCAAGAGGCTTGTATGTGTCATATCGAGACACAGATACATCCAGGACTGAATATTTTCTAAAAATGAAAGATGAGGGGTTCATCCCAGAGAGCACCTGAGGCACTCCTTGGTAGCGTAAACTGAAATCTTTTAACAGCTGCTCTATGTCCAGGGGCGGGCTGCCCTCAGTAACCTCAGAGAGACTAGAATAATAAACCAACACCTTTTTTGAGGCTTTTTTCCTTTCTGGGCGTTCAGCCAAGAGCATTTCACACCTCGTAAAAGTGTTGCAAGCTAGATAAACAATCCATTCAGAGAGAGAGAGAGAGAGAGAGAGAGAGAGAGAGAGAGAGAGAGAGA